TTTTCATGCCATCTTAACACTTCCGAAACAATTGCTCTGCTTCATTAACCCAATCATCCCCCCCCCCAAAAAAAAAAAAAAAAAAACATGCTGGTCGAGCTTGGTTCTTGTTGAGCTATGCAAAGGAACGTTTTTTTAATGAATTTGGCGGGGGGCAAGTCCCCTTCATAGTGCTATTAGTTTTTGACAATGCTATCATGCTACTCTTATTCAAATGATTTTAATACAGCTAAGACAGTGGGCTGGACATGGGATCATGGGCTGCAGATTTGAACTTCACTAGGCCAATGAGACGAGAGATTGCACCGTTGATTTTCAGTTGAACTAGCACTTGGACTCAATCAGAGAGTCGTCATTTGCCTTTTCAGGATCGGGGCTGAGTGAGACTTTCGCTTCACCCTTGGCTGAGTTTTTGGATTTCTGAAGGGTGTAGAAAGCATTCTGGATCGAAAAGGCCATGATACTAAAACCGGCAGCCCAATCAAGTTCATTTAGCCCACCTGAGAGTTACGCCTTTCACGATTCTTCGAACTCACATATTTCCGGTGATTGCTGAAGGCCCGTGGAGAGCCTGAAGAAGGACAACCTGAGAATCAGACTTGATCCTACTGAAGGATAATGCCGACATGAGCTTACAAGATTATCGATGAGAAGAAAATTCGAGTCAGTGTAGAACCTGGGTCCTTTAAAGAAGAAGAGCTTGAAATGATTGAAAGAGTGGCGTTCAGCAACCAACTTCCACCAAATTAGCATTCAATCATCAACACAATGCCTACCATGTAAACAAGCGGAGGCAAGTACAAAACCTCTTCGAGAATAATCAGATAGCCGTGTTTGATGATCCGTCGCCTAACACGCAGCATGGCATTGCGGTGATCCGAGACGGGAGAGTCTGCACTAGAAATCCCGGTCAAATGGTCTGCCGGAACAGTTTCCTGCGCAAGTCTTCGAGAGACGATTATCCAGGTGGGAAGATAAATCTTCAAAAGGTGTGTTTTTGGCATGTGAATCTCTGATTCTATCAAGCTCCTCACACAAGTTTGATATAAATAACTATTGCTTACGGCCGATATGAATAAATGTTGCACCAAATAAACGTACAACATGATCTTGGTGGCGTAGTCCAGACGTCTCTGTCCAAGTTGAATAAGAGTCAATAAGCTAAGAAAGTTCGACAAAAAAAAGACATGTGGCTAAGGCCTGTCGAAAACGTATGATAAACAGATGGGAAGTAAATAGATCTTACGGTGTTAAGAGAGATGGACTCCGTAGGCTTCAAAATCCCAAGCAAGCTTGAAGGGTTATAGTCTTCGGGGCTATAAGTTGGTGCTCTTTGAAGAAGATTGGCGACGACCTCCTCGGAAGTTGCCTCGATTGCTCCCACATTGGTAGAGCGTACGATGGAGATCCAAAGGATTATTACTGGTTGGTGAGGTTTATGATCAAGGGGTGCCCATAAGAACAACATAGTTGGACTCAATTATAAATCCCCACATACTAGCAGGAACAGCCAAAACAGCGAGCAGCGATCCATTGATGGCGAATCGCGCGCACGGCGAAAATTTAATGGTAGCTCCGGCTCGTGCACGTGTGCCTAAGGAGGTGAGATTCAAGGCCGCTTCGATACCCAAGATCCATAAGAATACTTCAAATGTTCCATTTGTTTGACAACAAAACAGATCGGCAATTATTCAAGTTCTGTTTATATCGCAAAGAAGAATAGCTAACTTACAGCTACCAAGCAGGATGCTTTAGTCAATATACCTATTTTTCATCAACACGTGGTTGAAGAATTAAAAGCACCAACGCTGCTCACAAACAAGCAGCCGCCGAAAAGGAAAACTTGCAAGTGTGGATAGCCATCTTACTCGAAAAACGAATCATATGTCGTTCCGTCAGTTCCTCCGTGGCTAGATCGACGACTGCCACTGATTCTCATCAAAAGAACAACCAAATAAATAAGAAGAGGAATGATGAAGAGAAAAGAAAAAAAGGAGATCGCACGAAGATGCAGAGAAATCAACTCTTATGACGTACACGTGGAAAATATAAGCATCAGAAGCACAATGTCATTAAGAACCTCCGCATGGATCAACCCAACTGGCAAATCATAGCGCGATGGAATCGTATCATGTATAAGTCAAATGTCTGGGTTGCGAGATCCCCTTGACTCATTCGTACTCACGTTTGTTAAACCTAAAGAAATGCAATTTGCCCGCTCTTTTGCGCAGCCAGAGAGCAGCAATAGCTTGGAAGCAAAGCCTTGATAAAAAAAAAAGTAAGAACAAGTATATGAGGTAAAACAGCAACAGGAACAAAGCCATGTTTTCTTTTGGGTTTCAATGACTTTGATTGAACAAAAAGGAGCTGACATGATGTAATTAAATGCTATGATTCGGCGAAGAATAGCTCCCCATAGAACTAGCTCTGCCGTCTGATAATCAGAGAGAAATATTAGCGAAGCCCCTAGGATAGGTTAGGAAGTTGCTGTTAGCTTGCCTGCGTCTCCTCCCCGATTTTTGCAGCCGTTGCCTCATACGGATTGGTGGATGGTGGCAAGCTTGTCGCGAACTGTATTATCTGCTGTGTAAAGGTCGCCATGGCATGAAGGAAAATGACGATCTATCTAACCCAGGCAAGTGCGGGTGAGAATACGGCTGAATTCAAGGCAACTATTTATGTCGATCTTTCGAGCAAAAGTTCTCGATACTGAAGCTTTAGAATGGTGGCTAAAGCCAATTGCCATCGATGATAAATTTCGGTCAACTGATCCCTGCTTCTGGGCTACAATCGGTGTAGGTTTCGGAGCAGCGGATCAGCTTCACCAGGAGGATTCGCGCAAAACCACTATTAATCGAGAGGACGATGTGCGCATCGACCGACGTGTGTTCAAAACCAGCTTGCGAAACTCGAAAATGTCACATCCAAGGAGATTGCATCAAGCTTGCTCGAGGAGCCTCGGATCGTCGCGCAAGAGTTCCATGGCCGAGGATGTGAGACGGGCGGAGTGGGGACCTCAGACTCTGTCGCTCAACAAAATAGCCTCCGCCGTTTTTTAAGGTTCTGCTGCATCATCACAATTGCATGTGGACTGTCTCCGTGTGAGCAGGTGGTGACGGCGTGCTCTGACTGCTTAAAACAACTCATGAATTGACTATATAATATTTGATAGGCTCCGTGCCACTGCCTGCCTGTTAATTGGAGCGAGCTCCTGAAGCTTAAAAAGCTGCACATACAGTGATATATATACTGAACTAGGATGCTCACCCGCACGAGTACATTACAGCCCAAGATGCTCTTAATTTACCGGATGAGGAAGCCGGATGACTTGCTTTTTAAATCAATTTATTCCTATGATGAGATGTTTGAAGCACGTCTGAAATCGCAGATTTCATCAAGTTGAAGCCTGGGCACGGACGAAGATGACATGTGTGCTTCAAATCCATGTTGAAAGTGTAGTGAGAGAACAAAAGGAATACAGTGCGCCCTGACCGCTTGGCTACCAAGTCGGCACTACTCTATGGACTACAGGCTATACAACCACAACAGAAAGAAAACTGCTTGAGGGAAAAAAATCATGTACACCACATCAATTATGTTTTCATTTTTCAAAAGGAGGGGGGGGGATACGAGACCATGCAAGTTGGTGAAGATGGAAG